ACTGAGTGTTGATCGACTGGATCCGCGCAGCTCGTCTCCAGCTTCGGAGGAGCTTTGGCTCTGACTTCCTTGTTTTGCGTCTGCACTCGGACAGAGGCGGAGAGTTCTCCTCTGGCCTCCTGAGTGCCTACTGTCGTGCGCAAGGCATCCGTCAGACCTTCACGCTTCCGGACTCACCACAGCAGAATGGGATTGCTGAGCGCCGCATTGGCATGGTCATGGACGTCGCTCGTACGTCCATGATGCATGCGGCTGCTCCCCATTTTCTGTGGCCGTTTGCGGTCAGGTACGCTGCGCACCAGATCAACCTCCACCCCAGGGTCTCTCGACCGGAGACCTCCCCAGCCCTGCTGTGGACGGGGAAGGTTGGCGATGCGTCGGCGTTCCGGGTCTGGGGATCTCGGGAGTTTGTTCGCGACCTGTCTGCGGACAAGCTGTCCCCTCGTGCTTCTCCCAGCGTCTTCCTGGGGTTCCCCCCCGACGCCCCTGGGTGGCAGTTTTACCACCCCACCTCTCGACGTGTTCTGTCCTCCCAGGACGTCACGTTCGACGAGTCGGTACCCTACTACCGCCTCTTCCCCTACCGCACTCCGTCCCTCCCCCCACCCCCGCTCTTCTTGGTACCAGGTCCCCCCCCGGTAGTCCCCCTCCCCCCTCAGGGTCCTGCCCCTTCAGGTGTGTCCCAGGTAGACGCGGTCGAGCCTGTCGAGGTCACTGGTGACTCTGGTGCTGCTGCGGGAGCTGAGCCTGGGGGTGCGGAGTCTAGGGGTGCTGAGCCTGGGGGTGCGGAGTCTGGGGGTGCTGAGCCTGGGGGTGCTGTGCTTGGGGGTGCTGAGCCTGGAGGTGCCGAGCCTGGGGGTGCTGTGCCTGGGGGTGCCGAGCCTGGGTGTGCTGTGCCTGGGGGTGCTGTGCCTAGGGGTGCTGAGCCTGAGGGTGCTGAGTCTGGGGGTGCTGAGCCTTGGGGTGCTGGGTCTGGGGGTGCGGAGCCTGGGGGTGCGGAGCCTGGGGGCGCTCGGTTTGCTCGTGTGGCTGCCGGCGGTGCTT